TTTGAGTGACCTGACACGAGACGGGCTGCGTATTGCAGTTCCACATGGAAGTTGGGACACAGCTAAGGTAATGGCACCACGAACAATGCTCGTTTAAGTCCTCCCCATGAAGAAGCAAAACCAATCCTCCGATTAACCTATTTGAACTCGATTTTGAGCCAACAAACATTAAATTGTCAACATGAGATAATGTACAAGCGATCCAATTTTCGTTTTTAGGGTGTCCCAAACATAAAAGTCCACTTGCTTTATCTAATGCTTAGGTTGTGTTTGGTAAGCATATAAGTTAACTTATAGCTTATTTGATTAGCTTAGAAGCTTCCTGTATCCAAATAAATTTGGTTTGGTCGGACGAACTTTTTAAAAAACTCGAGTCTATCTCATAAGCTTTCTTGAGTAGCTTTTCAGATAAGCCAATTGAAAATTTTATTTCCGCTAATTTTGTCAAAACACTTTTATCATATAAACTAATTTTTCAGCCATAAGTCATAAGCTTTCTCAAAATTCACTTAAAAACTATAAGGTAGCTTATCAATCATGTTTACCAAACAAAACCATAGTCATAACAAAGTGTTGAGGTAAATATACCCGATTATCATGAGGATGAACGAAAGCATCCAAAGTATGCGTTGGTACGCCTTGAATTTTGGGCTATTATCATATCTCTGGCTAACCCAATCGAAGTGCGGGCGAATCAAGAAAACAAAGCCCAGAAGAAAGCCCGACATGAACCCTCCAATGTGGGCGAAATTGTCCACGTGCGGGAGGATTCCCACCGCAAGGTTGATCACAATAATCGTCACTAGTGTCAATAAGGCCGCCACCTGCAAAAAAAAAAAAAAAAAAAAAAAAAAAAAAAAAAAAAGGTGGTATCAACGACAATTCCATGCCAAGAAGATCATAATTAGGTTATGTTTGGTAAACCTAGCTGATAAGCTAGCTTGTCGCTTTTAAGTGAATTTCGACATTACAGGTGATGATAGCTTATGACTTATGTCTAAAAAGCTAGTTTATATTAGTTTATATCATAAAAGTGTTTGATAAAATTAGCTGATAAGCTAGCTGAAATAAAACTTTCAATAAGCTAATTTGAAAAGCCACCAAAGGAAAAAGCTTATGAGATAAGCTCGAGCATTTTAAAAAAGCTCGTCTTACCAAACCAAACTTATTTGAATACATAAAGATATAAGCTAATCAAATAAGTTATATGTTTATCAAACACAATCTTAACATTAGAAAAAAAGTATCTATAAAATCGATCGACTAGTACCTTGTTAGCATATATCGACCAATTAGTGATAAGTTCCGAAAGCATTCCTCCCAACAGGCCGAATAGCGCACCCGAAGCACCGACCGATATGTTCGACTGGATAAACAGAGCCGACATCAAACTCCCACCAAATCCCGACAAGAGGTAAAGAAAACCAATGCGCACTGAAAAAAGAGAAAAAGAAAGGCATCGTTTTTTGGGTAGACATTATGAGTTGCCAATTGCCATTATTAAAAATTTGGTAAAAACACAACTGGAAAAAATATTTAACAAAAGCAAAAATCACGTACAGAATCCGAATTCCTGCTCGAGTCGAATGCCGATGATTAAGAGGCTCAGCATGTTGGCGAGTAGGTGGAAAACTCCACCGTGCAACCATATGCAGGTGATCAAGCGCCAAATTTCATGCTCGTGCACAACTCTACCCACGTCTAAAGCACCCATCTTCTCTAGCCTAAAAACAAGAATTAAATAGCTGGTTGATGGATAAAAGTAAAACAGATAGAATGATTTGAGTTAACTAATTCAATTACTGAGTTCAAACAATGATTTTTTGTGTCAAAGGCTCAGGTGAAAGTGAAAAGAAGTTTGGCAGAGTGAACTCTGCTGCCTCAGTCATTACGATATATGGTTTAAGTGATTATTGTTATAAGGGAGTGAACTTTAGATGAAGAAGCCACCTAGATGAGTTGAATTCTTATAAAATGTTCATATAAATCAACAAATGGAGGTAAACATCAAATTTCATTGACGATGTACTCGGAGCTTCCTATAAGATGTTCTTATAAATCCACACAATGCTGTAAATAACTGTATATCGAATTTCATTGACGATGTACTTGGAGCTTCCAATAAGATGTTCTCATAAATCAACAAATACATGTAAATACCAAATTTCATCGAATACGTACGCCGAGCTTTCTAGAATTTAGTAACATCAACTAACATCCTCGATGTGGTGAAGAACAGGCATACATTTTACAAAAGACATTCTTTCTTTGAGATTATCAAATTCTTGAAGTAAGCAACCATAACAATTCAATGCCAAATTAACCATATTTCTGAACCAAACATAACTCTCTTTTTCAATAATACCAACAAATTTAACAAACCTTTGCAATAAATTTACAAATGCAACAACTCAAGAGCATACAGCAATGTTCAAAGCTTCACAAAAAAGCATTTAAAACAGAAAAAGGTGCCAACTTTACAACGAAAACATAAGAAGGCGCTTACGCTGTGGAAGAAGGCCCGAGAAGGGGATTCTCCTTAAACGGCTGAAACGAAAGCCTCCCCAAAAACCCAGAAGCAAAGCAGGACGCAGAATTTTTAGGACAATTGTTCACATACATTGTAATAACAAACATGACGACATTAGCCGCCACGAAGAAAGGTATCAGCCACGGGAACCATTTCTTGAAATGCTTCAATTCCCGGCAAACGACGGCGTTCTGAGACGCGGGGGGCGGCGGCGGAGCTTCCAGAGACACTGGGTGGATCACGTTGCTGCCCCGCCGCGGGTGCACCCGGATTGCGACGTCGTCCGGCGCCGCGGCCATCGGGAAAAA